AAAAAAAACAAAATATTAAGTGTTTGACTATTGTAAAACCAAATAATTCTCTAAAATGATAAACCATATAATTAGAGAAATATGTAAACGCATATCAGATCCATTCCTATATAATATTAACGGCCATGCAGCAGTCAAATCAGAACGTCGTAATTGCAAGATATCATTCGACCAACGATACACGTGCAATTTTTGCCACTATAAAATCGTTAATATTTATATTCAGTGGTAGAAATGAAATCGGAAAAGCTCATCATAACGAATATCGATGTCGTTAGTATATAAAGTCACAATATAAAGTAGATTAGATCTCGCGAAGGATTTTGTCATGTAGTTAAATTTAATAATTCGGGTGATGTAAAATCAAGTATGATTCAAAATTTTTCTTGAACTAGGATGATTTACCTATACCTACACAATTTGTTGTTTTTCATCGTTGTAAGAGGCGCAAACCCCTTAAACGACAAGTAAAAAAAAATGTATATGCCTTAATCATAGATAATCATTTACTACACTTATCCGGTCTATAAATGTATACACACTACGAAAAAAATGTATATGTTACCATCAATGTCGGTAATTCCGGCAATGACGGTAATGACTAAGCGATGTCAGTAATGCCGGTACACACCAGTCATTGCGGGAAAGATTATCTTATTAAAAATTAAAAGATATTGCATCCAATGTCATTTACTCGTACTAATGAGAATTTGTTTGATATTCTTTTTGATATTGTTTGAACACATATACTTCTATTGGTCTGGTTGACGTGATATGATGGTATCCGAACTTAGACAAAAACATTGCAATGTTGCAAAAGAAGCCATTATGACGTAGCCCACACAGCATTTGTTAATTATAACGAACGAAAAAATGTTTATGTATGATTGGAATTTACATATTTAAAATAAAAACTTAAAACAACATAATTACTAACTTAACTTGAAACATGTAATAGGAACTTATTAACATTCGGAAAACAAATACTCGTATTTGAAAATGAATAAAAATTTTATAAATGTATATAACTTAATTCAATGTTTAAATATGTGTAACCAATTTTTTTTAAATTTTTTTATTGAAACAAATGTCAAAGTTGGTTCAAGTATAGAATAACATATATGTATAATTACGGGTTTACATTAGGTCGACAAAAAAGCAAAATTCTATTTCTCGACAAATCCGCGACAAAACAAAGACAAAACAGAAATATTTCGCCTACATTAACTAAACTGCCGACAAAATTTTCGTGTTTTTGAAAACATTTTGGTGTCCGCTTGAAAGTGGTAAACATCAAAGTGTTCCCGTTTTGTTTTGGTTTTCAGGAACATTTGTTCGGTGCAACAATTGACATTTGGTATTTTAAAATATAAATTAAGTATACTTATATATACAATTTTGTCTCCTATATGTTTCCAATTTGTTGCCGAATTAGAAAAATTAAGAAGTTGCTCTTGTGATTTTATTTTCTGTTTTGTCGGCCTATTGTAAACTCGCCATAACAAATACAATAATATAATTTATACAGTATACGAAAATAATAACAATATAAAATGTAATAATTATAATATAAACTAATTATAGTTTTTTAAAAATAATAATAACTTTAACAGATTTAACCATTAAGTAACCGATTAACTCGTAATATATACATCGCAAACCTAACTAATTGTGAAAAAATGTAATATCGGACTCATTTCCTATTCTCATAAATCTTTCAAATGGTTTATTATAATAATTATATAATTAGTACAGTAGTTTTTGGTGTATAAACTAAGACACGTTTGAGAGTGATATTGAGGTACATTGAAAGAAATGCGTTCTAAATCGATGAACCAATGAATATTGAACATTTATCATATATTTTAATATTTTTTTAAATATTTATTGAATATTGAATAAATATATCTATGGCGTGTGGATATGTATTTGAAACTTTGTATCTATTGCGAGAAAAAATTATTTTATTTTAATAAATAAAATATTATCCATATTAACTATAAATTGTAGGAATTTTATATACTTAAGTATTATAATTATATTGTCTAACCATTATCAGCATTACCTTACTAACTTAGCTACTGTTAATATTGACTAGTTACACGATGGGCTAAGGTAAAAATGATGGAGACTCGTTTGCGCACATATTAATAGATTTTTTAAATTTATGACAACTCGTTTTCTTACAAGATTGTGAACAATGAAAAACTGCATTTGGGTACGATTTTGGGTATACAGCCCGTATACTCTAAAAACATAAATTGATTTCAATTTATGAAAACAATTGTTTTCAATCGTAGTTTCCCATCAGATTAGGACAAAGTTAGTTCAGGCAGTTACGAAAAAATATAAATTTAGTAAAATACTCTCTACTCGGAAAATAATTCTGAGATTGGAGGGTAGCTTAAATACTTATTCAATTTATTATATCTAAACTCAAATGACGTTCCGAACGCATTTACTAAAATCATTTCAATAGCGCCAAAATCAATATATATGGATTTTTAGACTATATATTAAAAAAATATATTGATTTTGGGCCAGAATTATGAGCTAGTTAAGAACTAAACACTAGACAATAACCCAAGAATAACAAACGGAGCTAAACATTTTCGCATGTACTTCAATATTCAATAGTAATCCTCCCATCCTTACATTCATATTACATTTAACATTACATTTCATCTTAAATTTCATTAGTTATTCAAGTATTAGTAGAAATTCAAATCGATATTGATTTAAAAATGTCTTTATTAAAAAAAAAAAAAAATAAAGATATCACCCATAGAAGAGAAATATTAAAAAACAAAATTATTCGAATACAAATTTACAAAAATTGATATTTTAATATTTTCAATGCAAACGCGTACCAATGAATAAGAAATATGTAGGTACTTTATTTTAAACTATAAAAATTAATTATTTTAAAGAATTAATTGTTCATTATATTCATTATTATATTATTTATTGAATTATGTTAATGACTTGGTTGTAAAAATGATTGTAATTATGATAAAAATGATTTATTTTTATATAAAGTTGTGATGAATTAAATAGCTCAAATAACATCTTTAAACCCGCTAGTTTATGACACCAGGATATTATTTGACAAAGAGTGTTAGACCTTATAAAGGTCGAAAGAAAATATTATAAGAGTATAATAATTTTCCACCATCAGCAATGACAAATTCGAAAACTTGGAGAGGTATGTAGATTATGTAGACCCTATATGTCAGAAGTGTCCAACATGACTACGTCACGAGTCACATGTATTAATAAGATTACATTAAGAGTCAAATTATTTAATCGGTACTTTTATACTACAAAAGTAATTAAGAAAACTATCAGTCGATAAACATATAAATAAATAAATCAAAATATCGTTAAAATTTGACTAATGATCATCTCACAGAATTACTAAGAACTACTCTTACATCAATTCAACCAGATCTTAAGAAGCTTACTAAAAAAGTAGACATGAAAAAAATACCATGCAAACAAATTTAACTTTATGTTTAATTTATTATTCATATAAATATTTTTTTTTTTGTTTATTAATCTGTACGCTATAGCCTTATATCTATGCAATAAAATTTTTTTTTATAAATGTATACAAAAAAATTAAAATATTTTGGTTTTTGTAAATAAGACCGCGAGCCGCATACGACTATGACGAGGGCCGCATGCGGCTCGCGAGCCGCAATTTGGCCACCCCTGCTATATGTGGTTAAGTTTTTCTGAAAAAAGATTTCTGTTGTTCGTAAATTGTGAGCAAACGAGTTGTGTTTTTGTGCGTAAATGAATTGCAGCCGTGAAAGATTATTTATGGTGGCAGGGGGGGGTATATATTTAGGCAATAATTATTTTTATAAATACCTATTTATTTTATAGCTGGGATTTTGGCAATGAGGGATACCTACTTACTTACGTCACTGACTGGTTATTACTAATTATATTAATATAATTAACTGATAAATACATTATAATGGTTGATTCTCGACATTGATGGAAATATAAACATCGCATTAACTCTAATCACCGGCTAAAATATTTGAAATAAAAACATTTACTGTAATAACAATTATTATAAAAATTGTGATTATTACTCAAAGCATTTACATGCATAAGCTTTTATGTATCTTTTTATAAAAATGTTTTCTGTCCATTTTTTGAGTTCTCATTCGCAAGCGTCTTGTTAACCGATCATGGCCCTCTTAAACTTAGCACCATCGGGATTTTTAAACCACTGTAATTGTTTGTACGAATGCATACATACGGGTTGTATTGAAGAATCGGGAAATTGATGGTAAAAATAACGTTAAATAAATATTGAAACATTTTCGAGAATTATGGAATAATTTTTTGAAAACTTGTTCTAGCCAATAATTTTCGGGCTACTTAATTTATAGGTTCGAAATGAGAACATAAATGGAAAGAAAAGCGAAGCAGAACTACGAGGAAAAATATGCACAGAAAAACGCAGAAGTTGGGTAAAAAAAATTCATAAGTTATCTGGATAGATAACATCATACGAAAGTCCTCTATCTCTGAACATTTAATAATTATTGTAAAACCGTTAAATAAGTAATATTAATAAAATATAAAGAAGTCGCTGAGCCTTAAAGGCGTCATAAAATATCGCATCAGTACGTATACTCAGACGTATTTTTACTATACACAGTGCAGCTAGAGCACGGGAACACGCACGGCAAATGCACTCTCTCCGTCTCCGCGGTCGTCGTCGCAGTGTCAAGGCTCGGCCGCTGCAATTAATATAATGTACTGCAACAATATATCTTTCCCTAGTTTCTTTCACCGGACCGGACTACCGCGCGTGACCGACGACGAAGTGCCTCTATGATTCATCTCTCCGTTCCGAACTCGTGTCTTCGCTCGGACTCGGCTATCCTTTCTACCCCCCCCCCCCCCACCCACCAAACCCACCACCGGTGTTTAGTTCGTGCGACTGTCGCACTATGGAAATAACTATACACGTTATACAGTAATATACTGTGTGCGGCGGCCGCGTCGTCTTTTCTCCTCCACGGCGGCTCGTGCGCGTTTTCGCTGCCGTCGGGTCCATACCTCGGCGATCGGCACAACAACCAGTGGTCGTACCGCGGACACCGCACTCCGGCATCACACGTCGCACTTCACACACGCGCAACACGCACCAATCCAACACTATTGTACCATGGCGGGCTTCCCGAGTGGTTAGTTTCCGTTACAGTTACAAATAATTGGAAAAACTAGTGCGCTAGATCGTTATCGGTCAATATTATCGCGGCGCTGACCGTGTAATACACCATCCGTTTCGTAACAACGGTCAGGTTTCGTCTTCGGCGTGCGCGCGTCCCGTAGATATCCTCGACCTGAAACCCTTTGACGACGAGACACTATGGACATCCAGTTCGAAGACTTGACGTACGAGGCGAAGTCGCCGTTTTGGCGCACCAAAGGTCAGTTGAACAATCATTAAATCGGCTAGGCAAAGGTGGGTGATTCGTGATTGGATTTCATACACTTAGGTATCGTCAAAATGTATAAGTTTCGTTCGGTATTGTGATACTCCACCGTGTAAAAGAATATTCCCCGGCATATTCTGTAAATTTTCTGTGAATTTGTACACCCGAAGCTGAATCCGAACGTAAAGTACAGATACTTAGTAGATATTTATGGTGCATGCATAGTTTCATGTTTAATCATAATTTAATGAAATTTATAAATGTATTTTTATATGAGCTCGAAAAAGAATATTACGATATTTTATAGACGATGTTCCGTCAATTAATTTTTAGTCACTTCCGTGAATTAAACGAATTTATTACTATGATATAATTTTATTTAATGTCAACCCGTTTTCATCGAATTTACATTAATTTTTCATATTATGATACTCTTTGCTTTTTTAATATTTCCTGTTTGTTGGTTGCATATGAATGTTTTTCATTTATATAACAATTATTAGTACAAATATTTGATACCTCGCTAAAATACTATACATATCGTTACATAAAATAACGTACCACAAATGTGTACCTATTGCTCTCTTCTATATACTTCAATGTTCAATAATAATCCGGTTTCAGAATAAATCAAATAATAAGATATTACATAATATTATTAGAAAATATTTAGAGTTAATTATACATATAATCATACATTGAAATACTATTTAGAAATAAATTTGGTAATGGGTAACAGTATTCTCTAGTATTTCATTTATGATCAATTTTCTAACTCATAAATAAAATGTTATAATAATAATTAATACTGTTTAAGTGCATATTTTCTCGTATGAAAATGTGCTTAAGCTATTCAAATAAATTTTTGAATACGTGGAAATAATAAAAAAGTGTTATAGTTTTGCAGTAACATGACTTAGAATGGATTTAAAAATAAAAAACATTACTATTTAGGATGTGACATTGTTATAATCGCTTATAAGTTCTATGCAATTTCTCCTTGAAGTATATTTAATATCACTCTCATTATCTAAATAAATAAGACTTACACGTGTATATTATATAAGTCACGTTTACGGTAACAGGTGGAGTCTAACAACCACGTGATTTGATGATAGTACGTATAGTATGCGAAAGTATAACACACTAACAGTTTACAGCTAAAATTGGCGACAGTTATTACACTTTTTTACTCAAATTATATTTATATGTACTTATACAGTAATCGCAAATGTAAAACATCGAATTTTTTATAACTTATAGGTTAGAATATATTATAAAACCAATTATTTATTACATTCCATACAGTAAAAACTACAATTTAAATTTATATTGTATATATTAAAGAACAACAAGCTTTTTAATTTGGCTTATACTCAGTAAATATATACAATACTCACTATGCCAGTTATTGACAAATTTTTACTGGGCTTAAAATTCCAGATTATAGATTCGCGAAATATCGTCAAAATTTAGTGAGTTTGACTAGTATTCTGATTTTCGGTGATGTAATGGTGATTAATTTAAAATGTTGTTCTATGCTACATACCTACATGATGCTTGTATGGTAAAATGTATTGTTATACCTTTGTACTCAATGACGTTGAACAAAATGTTTAATGGTTTGATCCATAGGGGAGTTTGTAAATTGGGTCCGCAAAAAAGTAGGTACCTAGTAGAGTCCCGGAGAAAAAAAGATAGTAAGTGAATTGGGTCTCAGCAAAAACAAATAAATTTAATTAAAAATATACAAAAAAGTGTAACTAAAAACATACATGTTGTAAAATATAAAATATAAACATAAAAAAAATATATATAAATTATGCACTATATAAACTTAAATTATATGGATTATGAGACAAATTTAAATCAGGTTATTATATTATTAGTGTACTTCATCATTTGTTCCCTTAGATTGTGTTCTTTATCAAGCGTACTTATATTTTTTTTGGTTTGTTCTTCGTAGTTTTACTTGTGTCTTTAACTGTACTCCTAATAATTTGTCCACAAAGTTTAAACTATTAGGATGTGGCTGTAAAATCAGTGGTTTATTGATACGATTTACAGCAATTGGTTGTAAGCACGGTGGTAGCAGAAAATTGAGACCAAATATTTGGGGGATATCTAGCATCAGCTGAGATATAAGTACTTAGTATATAATAGTGAAATATCCTTAAAAGAACCATCATAAAAATCGATGATAACTGATATACAATAATATACCGAACATAATATTATAAACGTATCATAATTAGACATAATTAAAGATTACATTAATATTTTATCGTTGAAAAGAAATAAGATTATTAGTCAGGACCCAACTTACCTCCTTTTTTTTCCCGAGACTCAACGCTTTCAAAAAGTACCTTACTTATCGTGGACCCAATTTACCTAGTCGCATCCATAGACCTATTATCTCATAGACAGCGCTTTCCTCATCCCCTTTCCATTGGAATAAATAAGATATTGAGTAGAGAGACAGACATATGATCGGGAATATCTTGGGTAAAAAAGCAATAAAACTGTTTATTACTCCATGTATTTTAAATTTCTGATAATTAGAAACATAGACCTATTATCGACAACAGATCTATGAAAACAATACGAGTTTTTCTTTTATTTTTTCTCGATTATTCTACTATCTTTCTCACTCAATGTTGCAGTGGGTTTATCTCTAAGTGTCATTCATGAGATAATAGGTTTATTAGGGTTTGATTAATTGTCACTACATTTACCACTTACAACTCCCCTCTCCCAAGGATGTACTTAATAGGGTTGGGTCCACCCCTCCTAAAAATTTTTAACCTATTTTAGCATTTATGAAAGCATTAAGGTACTTAAATATCTTAAATAATAGTTATTAAATGGGCAATATTATAATTTATAGTTAATTGGCTTGATTCATTTATTACTCGTATAGTAATCCATCACGGCACCTCCAACAACATTAAAAATATTGTTTGGTTAGGCCAGACTTGAACTTCGAGTTCGGCGCTACTGTTAGTATTTTTAGTGACCCCCAAAAAAAAAAAAAAAAAATCATAATTGCAAACTCAACATTAATAAATTTATTATTACCATAAAATTGGTAAATATTTACCTATATTTATTTTATTTATTTATTTATCTATCTATTCAGAAATACTTATATAAAATGTATTATAAAAATGAATTTATTAATTGTTTCAAGTATAACATGGAATTAATTAATTTATTTATAGTTAATCTTATTGACTTCCTTGATGCTGAACACTTTCCACAAGTTCTTCAATGTTTAGATGTATATTCATTGAAAATGCACATCCCATATCATGTTGAGAATCAAGGCGATATCTATACTTTGTTTTAATGATAACTAAAGCAGAAAATCCGGATTCACATAAATATATGGTCGGAAATGGTAATAGTAATGCATTTTCAGATTTTCTGTATAAAATAGGTTTATTTTAAAGTTGTGTCCAGAATTGGGTTAGGCCAGTTGTTCTCAATCTTTTTAGGACCGCGACCCAAATTTTCTTCCAAAAATCTATCATGACCATAGTTTTACATTTACAGAATCAATAAAAATAATTTCAAAAAACAAATTTTTTCTATTTTATTACTTATTTACTACTTTATAATAATAATAATATAATATAATATAATATATTATATATTATATAATATAATACTTAATTAATAATTAGGCGTATGTGATGAATGTGCTTGTTTCTTACAATCTGTATAATTAAAAAAACTTCTAGCGACCCCCCAAAAATTGACTCGCGACCCCCTAGGGGGTCGCGACCCACAGTTTGAGAAACGCTGGGTTAGGCACTTTTGAGAAAAATTTTCTTTTAAGACTAGATGAGCTTGAAGATCAAGAAGTTTCTCTTAGAAATCGTAAATATCTTCACGAACTTTGTGAACAGAAATTTTAAATGGATTTCTCACCCAACTGTATTTACTAAGTTCTACGTTTTCTGGTATATATCGACCGAGTTCTAACTGTAATTTGTCCAAGTACTCCTGAAGTAGTTGTTTTAAGTAATCCAATGTAATAATGGTTAAATCTTCAAGAAACTCACTTAAAACACAAAATGTGACAATTTTTCCTTGATAGTTTATCCCACCAAAGTGCTCCACTTTGTTAGCTTTTGTTTGAATGAAGATATTTTTTCACAAATATCAACCATAGTCTTATTCTTCCCCTGCATCTCAATATACAGCTCATTTAATCGACGAAAAATATTGCTTAAAAAAAGCTAATTTAGAAACCAGTGGCGTATCCAGGATTCAGGGGTGTTTTAAAATTTAATAGACTTTTAGTAAGTGGGGGTTCTGCCCCCTCCTTCTTCTTACATTTATAAATACTATGTATTTATATAAATTATTATATTAATGAAAATGATTATATTTACATATACCTACGTTTAGTTAAATTATACTGTAATTAAGTTTGCAATTTGGTTAAATACTATAAAATACGGTCGATGGGGGGTGTTCTAACACCCATATCACCCCCCTAAATACGCCCCTGTTAGAAACTCACAAATCGTCATTAAATTTATCAGCCAATAAGTATTTTTTTTCCGTTAGAAAAATATATATTTTTTAACGCAAAGACATAACTTACAGTACGAATTTTTCCACGGAAAGCCAACGTACATCCGAGTGATAAAGTAAATTTACAAGCTGTGATAACATCTCGTCACACATGGCATGAAATATTCTTGAATTTAATGCTCTTGCTTTTATGAAATTGAGGATTTGAATTACGTCTTGAAGTACTGAATAAAGCTCTGGATGAAATGCTCTGGTAGCCAAATTTTCTCGATGTAAAAAACAATAAATAATGACAACTTTTGAATTAACTTTCAGAACTCATTTACAAAATCCTATTCGATTCTCAAGCATTGCTGGTGCAGATTCGAACAGATTTCTACGCAATTACTCCAAGTTAGATTATTTTTCCTAAAAAATTCATCAACTTTATTAAAATATCTAAGCAAGTT